AAAAAAACGAAAAGAAATGCTAAAATTTCTTTCTATTCCTTTTCTTTTCAAGTTTCAATCAATTAATTTTTTTGAAAATTTTTAAAAAAATTTTTTTAAAAGTAAAAACTTTGTTGACAGTTTCACATATGTAATATTATGGGTATTGTCCGTTTAATCATTTCAAACAATTCATTCATTCATTAAATCGATCTCATTCATTCATTCCATCGATCAGTGGCAATCGAATTTAGATCCTTGATCCCGATAGCATATACTTTTGCCTGGGTAACAGGGATCATGCTTGTTGGCATCCTGAGGATCTGGATCCTTAACTGGAGGCGGCTATACTTCGCGATATCTATCCCAAGTACACTTAGTGCCTTATATTACTGGTTCGTCCTAGTCATCCTTTATGCTTGTCTAAATTGTTAAAATTATTTCAGTTGTGATTTCAATGTTCAAATAAAACTATGTGAACAATCATCGCGACTGTTAAATATTTTTTTAAAGGGAAGGAACCGTTTGGATCTCCAGACCAACTTCTCTCGAACAACAAATAACTTTCCTATTTTTTTAAGTTCTTTGCCTTTGAAAAGCGACAGGGAAATACGATTATCTTAAATGTGAAACTGATTCGATTGTATGATAGTTTCTGTAATCAGTCTGATTTCAGGTTACTGCCGGAATCACCATACTGGTCAATAACCCACAATAAACATAAAAGCATAGAAAAGTAAATTTCTTTGATTCTTTACTTTCGACCATTTCGACGCAACAAATAACGGTCATTCCCATTTCTATTCATATGATATTAGGGGATGAAGTGAAGTTTTCAGTATTGTTAATGTTACTCCGTCAAAAAGCGAGTAGAGAAGAGTCTGAGTATTATAAGATTAAGAATGACTTCAAAAGATGAGGTCAATTCTGCTAAGATACAATTGGAAAGGTTCAATCATTTCTTTATCCAAATAAAAGGCACAAAGCAAATTAGTAAAGTACTTCTAGCACGATTGCTAACATGCTAATCTTCCATCTTTAACTTATAAATCATTAATTTAAAACAAAATAGATTCAAATATAAAATTATCTTTGAAACCGTTTTTTACGGCACAAATACAAAATTTTCAATGATAAATGATGTTTAATATTTATTTTAGATATATTAAAGATGCTTGTCGTTACAACAATGTTAAGCTTGATTTGAGTAAATGTGAATTGGACTCTCAACAACCTGATAATCAGAATAAATCTCGTACTCTTATCGATGTTCTTTGCAACAGAGTGGCGCTTTTTCATTTGTCCGTGCAGTGCTATGTGATGTTCGTTTGTTTTCCTCTGTGTAATTTACGAACAATAATTAATATAAATATAAATTAATTTCGTGAAGAGACTGACAAATTTCGTTTATATTAGGAATCAAAGAGAGTCCAGGTTTTTAATTTTAGGATATCAATGAATATATCCTACTGGGCTATGGCACTCTTAAGCACAACATTAAGTGATGACAGTTTCACCGGTTACTTCTTATCTGGTTTCATCGAGTTTCCTGGTGGTTTGTTAGCTGTGGTGCTATTACTTAAATTTGGACGACGTACTATCACCGTATGGTCCTTCTCCATGCAATTTATACTACTTTTCTTGGCTGTACTTTTTCCAGGTAATCGGTGACATTTGTTTCATGGCAATGGCGACTTCTCATTTGCTTTTTTATTTTTTTTTTATTCAAGATATGTTGGCAAAATGACTGCAGGTACTGGAATAATGCAAATATCGCTTGCCGTAATAGCCAAGTTTTTCAATAGTTTCATTTGGGTTGCGCAGCCACTGATGCTTGCTGAAATGAGTCCTACAACAGTACGCAATATATTCTATGGAACTGTGCAGTTTTTCGGAAATACTGGTGCCTTTCTGGCACCTTACTTACCCTTGCTTGTAGGTTGCTATCAGAATATCAGTTCTTGTTACACAGGAATTTTATTGATAGATAGAGTATGAAAGGAATACAGCAAAGTTGAATAGTGAGGATTAATGGAATCATAAGGCTTTTGGTCAAAACCTTCTGAAATTAAGATATGACTGTTGAAGAGAATAAGAATAAAGATAGGATCACAAAGACGTAACAAATTCAAAAGTGATGCTATTTTCCTTTGTTTTCTTCTTCACTGATTGGTTATCGAAAAAAAATTTCCGACTTAATTGATTACTTTGGTATAACTATAGTAAAACAGGATAACTGTAATAGGATAATCCTATCGGTGAGAGCTTCATTTTCGTTTTTGTCCTATAAACATGCCTTGCGAGCACATTTCAAATCAAATGTCTGCTATTCTATTCTGTATTGCACTTTATAGTTATAAATAACTTCCCCATAGGAATTATTATTTATCGTATTGCATGATAGTAACAGTCTTATCTATTACAGAAAAGTGTTAGCCCTCAAGCACCACAGGTGATAGTAGCAATAGTTTCCCTTAGCGCAGCAATAATTCTGCTCACAGCACCTGAAACAAAGGATCGTCCGATGCCAGAAGATTTGAATGATTTCGATCCAGGATGCTTTCTACAAATGTTCGGGTATCGGAAACAAACAAAGGAAAATGTCTTCCTAACAGCAAAGGATGCAGAAAGACCAAGTAATAGTTCTCTGTTACATTTCTTAACCTTTATTTGAAAAGTTAATTTTCTCCATAAAATTCGACACCTCTCTGAACTTGAACTGCACTTGAGGGAGTTTAAGATCCGACCTGCGTACGTGTGTACACCTGCATACAAGGTTATTGCTACTAATACACTGCTTCGAAGCAATGCAATGGGTCTCGCAACATCAGAAAGGTCATCCTTACTGGCAATCTACCAGTAAGGATGACCTTCTTGATAGCACTTGGAAATGGAAATGCTAATACCACAACCAAAGCATGAGTTGCAGACTGCCTTGATTGTTTCGAACCTAATCCTCTTTAGGCCTCCGAAAAATATCTCGTAATTTTGACTTTCGGAGGGAAGAAAATGATTCCCCACAAATGTCTTATGAAAGATAAGATAGATGTAAATAATGATACTTTTCAAATCTTCTAATGCATTATTTTTCAATGTGCAGTGAATCGAAATGCAACTGAGGAAGAAAAAGTTTGAAAATGGAAATAATTGAGAAAAATGTCACGAATTCAAATACCTTCTATATTTCACAAATACGTCAGATCGTATTTCTATCATCAGCTTATTTAAATTTATTAATCCACTTCTATTACTTCAACTTCAACTGTTTTTAAGTTCTTTTTTGTCTCACTCTATCTCTGTTGAATAAATTTCGTAAAATTCATTACTGGTATTCCTTCTGAGGGTGATAATCTAGAAAGTTCGTACAAAATAAGTTTATTAGGACGAGTACAAATGCAATAATTAAAAAGAAGCTATGAATAGAAAATGAAATTTTTGAAGTAATTGTCAGATTATTGGATTTTAACTTTCATTTTTGTATTCCAATTGTTTGTGATAATTCCACGACATTAAAAGAAGATTCCAGTCATTTCGCTCTGATATGTATTATTATTTATCTTGTATTGATTCTTTCAATATAGCGCCAAGGAGGATTATGGCAAGAATTAGTGTTAATAGTTTATTGCTTCTTTTCGTAGAAAAAAAAAATTGAAATTTCCAAAATCAAGATTAGTCTCATTATTCATCATTTTGACCAGGCTTCGCGAAGAAGATTTGGGAAGGACTTTACCCATGCATGCTGCAAATGCTACAAATGTGGGTGTATCCTTTGAGCGTAGTGAGATTTATTAGGTAAGACACAGCGTGCGCAAAACTGGCCCACCCTTTACTCCCAAGGTTCATCTGCAGGGCCTAGCGGATTAAGATGATGACAGCCAAGTCTTCAGGATATGAGTTTTGTCGGATTACTGAAATTAATCTTCAAGGAAAATTTCTACAATATCTACCAGATAGGATGATGAAATGCCTATAAGTAAAATTAAGGCAACGAGGAGAATTTAAGGTAACAATGAAGGAAATGTCGCAAAGACATCTCAGCACCTATTCGTGGCTGCAGAATGGGCCATGTCAAGGGCAGCATACCTTTATGATAACTCCGGTGGAGCTCGGCGGAGCTCACCAAAGCTCCTCCTGTCGGAAAACAGAGAAATTTTATAATACTTTAAATATGCCGCCTTTTGAATATTGTAAAGGTTACACGTGTTCCTGTTTATTACCGTAACAATCTTATACGCCTTTGTTGAATACTGTAAAAATCTTACATGCCGCCGTTTATTATACGCCCTTGTTTAAATGTTGTTAAGGTTATACATTCACTACATAAGGACTAAAAACAAGAGGTAAAGACTCAATCTCTTTCATTTGGATCATCAACATCTTCGGATCATCATCTTGCTTTCCTCTCAGTTTACGGAAAGTATCATTTCTCGATAAACTATATTACTAAATAAAAACATTTCCTTTGCCTCTCCTAATCATAGTCAATTCTTCTATATTTCGAATTTAAACTGATTTCATTTATCCTTACTGCATTATCAATAAATCAACTGCAATAAATTTTGCTACTCGTGTCATTACATCGTATCTCATGTAAGTCAATTTTTATTAAATCCTAATTTATACACTAATAATATCAAAAAATTCGCAACCAATTTTGGTGTCGAAAGCGAGACTCCATGGCTACCAATATCATCATCGTAAATATCGAACCGGCTAAAGAAAGGCTGGAGAGTCTTTTACAAGAAATGAGAACGATGAAACTAACCCTTCTGGGTCGAAATTTAATAACGGAGCAAAGACAAGAAGAATATGAAAACAGCAAACAAGTTATTGAAGACAAATCCTGCGATTTGAATTGTGCCTTCATAAATTAGGATCAGTAAATGACAAATGGCTCGGATATATTCAAGAATCTATACGGTAAGAATATTCATGTTAGTGCATGAAGGTAAAGATGGGGTTATTAACCATGAAAAGAATTGGTGCGCTTGTTACAAGAGTCACACTCACTTAAGGAGCTAAGCCAACTTTTCAAGTCGCGGTCAATCTCCGGCAATTGTCATTGCTCACTTTCAATGACGACTATCAACAATGGAGGCAATTTTGGAATAATTTCAACGCTGTAATCGTTTCGTAAACGATTCTGGAAATCAAAAATTGAATTTTCTTCTGCTTAAAGGATTCAGGTGGTAAAAGGTTACGATATAACGCCAGAAACCTACGAAGTAAGTAGAAGACTACTAATGGAAAAATGTAGCGAATTATCGACCATAACAAAACTTTTATATAACGAGTTAGTAATGGAACGGGTACTTTGACAACTAGAAGCTCTAGGAGAAAACATAAAACATTCTAGTATTGAAACTGCAATCGAGAGGAGATTACCACGATGGATATTAGATAAAGTACATCATCAAAGGAATACAGATATACTTTGGTCAGTTTCGAGACTTGGAAATTTCCTTGGGAACTTGCTTGATGTAAATGAACGGGTAAGAACAGTTAATTCTCACTTACTGAAGTTGAAAGGAAACTAGCTGTGACCTAACCATGCCAAGATTCCCGGAACTTCAGCGTTAACAACAATTCATATCGATGAGAAGATTCCTAAGTTTACGATGAAGAAAAAGGAGAAGAAAAAAAAAGACCATGCATCTTTTGCAGTCGTTATCATTGGGACTATCCTACAACAAACCTTTTAAGGCAGTGAATGTTTTGTTTTAAAGAAATGCAAAACGGCTAAGGATAAGAAAAAAAAGTATATCTTTTGTAAAACTTCCCACAATGGTGCGTAATAAGGGGGATCAAATACAACTCATACAATTTAGTAGTGAAAAAAAACACAAGGAAACCTGACTCTTATCTAAACAGATAATAGTTTCCACTTCATTAAGTTTTCAACTCTTGGCACTGTTCGATATAAAATTACAGTTATCCTTTACATCCAAGGAATTAGCATACCGATTAAATCTGACCGAAATGGAACAGTAAGAAATGAAACTAACCGCATTTGGTGTTAAGAGAAGAGACCTGGATCATGTTTCACCACCCAAACGCAAACTTGCACAAATACCAAAGGAAAGGGAATTATAACGCTGTATGACAATATTTTCGACTACTTAACCAATGAATTGCAAGTAGTCGAAATACCGACTGAGGGCCAGTTGAAGAGTATAAAAAATGTTGCAAACGACAAGACATACTTATTTGTGCCAATTATTTTTTAAATTTGTGGAACTGAAAGGAATTAAAGAGGTAGACTTTGAATATTCACTATTTCAAACGAGAATCAGCCATATGATCGTTGGGAGTTGAGATATCAATGAACTCTGTAATATTATTGCTATATGTACTTCTAATATATTATGTGTGGCCAATGCTATTTGCGAATCGGAAACAGAAAAATTCTGAGAATGGAAATCATGGGTTTGAAGAAGCATCTAATGCTGATGATGACGAAGAAATATTAAAACAATTCAAAAACACTATGATCAAACGGGACAGGAAATATAAGGCACGTTAGCCATGGAAAGAATCCAAGTACAAATTAAGCAATAATTATGGATTATGTTTTAGACGTTCAAAGAACATAATCAAATGATTCCAATATAAATTATATCTTTATCAATATGAAACAGTCATGGACTAATTAAGATCTGATATTATTGAAAAACACATCTTATGGATGAGATAGAATTAAATAATGTAGAATGGGATTGTACTATATCCCTTTGGCTAGACGATATAATTAAAGAAGTAAAGAGAAAATATAAGACATTATCGCCTCAAAAGAGTTCCTTTTGGAGTAATATCATTACCCTTGTTATTATCAACAACACTCAACTATCATTTGAGAAATTATGGTCAGTAAAACGGTCTCAGAAATAAGAAAAAATACGTGGATAACGTTACCTTATCTGGTGATGAAATAGATGAAGCCTTTCAAAAGTACAAACAGTTTCGATAAATATGAGAGAATTTCTTTCTAACGATGAAGAATTTAATGAAGGAATGAGTACCTGAGTACGATAGAGCTAAAATAAATAAAGAAAGTTTTCTCGATATTAAATGGATTCATAACTAAAATATTACTTCCTAATACCTTGGAAAGGAAGGAATTAACTAAAGAAGCGATTTTAT